CAGCATCACTGAAGCATTAAAGAAGATGGCCCATTAAACTGCTGTCCTGTTGTTGGCCCAACACCCATTTTTAATTCTCAAAGCATGTGTTCTACCTCAAGAAGAATATTGTTTTCAAAAATGTGGCAAAAAAATGACAATACATGACATACAGCCAAAGGTGTTACTAGGTTTCCTAATCTGGGTTTAGCAGGATCACAAAGTTACTGACTATATTTGCAGAAAGTCCTGCCATTACAGAGGATGCCATCTATTTTATTTACACTGCATTTGACACTGATATTGAACACTTTCTATAGTGTGAGTGAGAAGAGTTTGAGGTGTAGCTGAGTGTGTTTATGTCTGATCTGCTGACTTGTCAGGGAATAGGCTGAACACTGTATTGATTCAGTGTCATCACACACAGAGATTCGCAAAGAGCCAACGCAGGATCAATGTGAGTGCAACAGTGAGTCAATGTTGTGTCTTTGTTATGATTTACATTTAGTTTTAAAATGCTGCCTCCTGCGTGCATGTGGCCTGGTATTACCCATGTGATGAGGACATAAATCTGTTTACACTGTGGGGACTCAACATCCAGAGGTGCAGTGTTATTTGTTGAAGTAGTGGAACTCGCCTTATTGTCTGGTGTGGCCGAATAGCCATGTGAATTAGTAGCTATTTGTCATGTTATAGCCATAGATAATCTCAAATATTCATGTTAATGAGAAAACAGTAACATTAATATATTGCCACTGGACCTGGAACTTGTAGACTATTTGTACTGCTGTAGCCTGCACTGTACCTCCACTGCTTTGTGTTTTCTATTAAGGTAGCAACACAGTGAACAGGCCTATTCACTGTGAGCCTGCAAGGCTACTGGCAACTACCAGCCACTTTTGATTTCTTCTCTCATGTTACTCAATGCATGAGTTGACGTTATGAATCAGTTTTCATACCTTGAATCACAACTTGGACTTTTCCATCTGATTTTACTGGTTCTTTTGCAGGACATATGCTTTACTGATGATTGGATCTTCAAACATTCACAAAAATGTAATCTAAATAATTTAAAAATGTAAGTTCAACCAGTTGATACAAGTTATCTTTTTCCTCACTTGGAGAAAAAAACTGGTGGAGCGTCATTCCAGTGTGCTCCGGCAACACTACACCCATGTAAATCTCCAAAATGTAAATCATTACATTTTAGAGTAATGACTTGGTTTGAGGCCAGGATAAATCTCCAGGAAGTGAATTTCAGTCAATGTAATGTCCCCTGAAGTGATAGAAACACAGATTTTAATAACTGATCATGCTTCAGTCAGGTGAATGACTAACTCACCGAGTCTGTTGGTGCAATAAAAACATGGTAAACTAATTAGTATTTTACTTTATGTGTAATAGACATGTTAAAACACTCAATTTTCAGTCATTGCAGTCTGTTTTTAATTGAATCTGTTTCTGTCTTTTTTTCAGTTTTTTGTCTTTTACTGTATATATCCAAATCAGGGGCCATGGGAAACATGCACAGTTTGAGCATTTCAAAACTAGAGCTCAGCTCAGTGGGGTTAAATGCTGTTGGGGCAGATTTTTTTAATCACTAGAATGAATTAGCCAGTTCTTTCCTCTTTTTGTGAAAGCATCCCAACATAGACTTGAATGTCAGGAATAGACAAAAATTGCAGAGAGTATTAAATGTGGCTAGTTAAATAATATGAAATTCCAGATGCAAGCAAGTGAAAAATATTAATTAAACATAGGAAACAAAGATCACCAGATTTTAAGTGGCCCCTCCCACCCCCTGTACTGCCACATTGAGCTCCTACCCTCAGGGAGGTGGTACAGAGCCATCAAGAATGTGTATAGTAAGTCTTTTCTGCCTAATGCAATCACAGTGTTAAATAAATAGTTTCCCTAGTTCATGGAAAAGTAGTCCTCCTCTTTTTATTGTTCCCATTATTACTGTCACTCTTATTCCACAGATGGATATTCTTTTACCTATTTACCTTTTAGTAAAATCAATCTGGTGAAATCAAGAAAACAAATGCAATTTGATGCAATGACTTTCTTTTTAATATTGTCATCTCTAGACTTCCTTATATTTCTGATGTTGAGGTAGTCAATACTGTGTACCCAGTAACAGAAGTATGCATATAGAAAAGTAAGGGGAAGAGTCTTTTGGGAAAAAGCACTATATCAAACCAACGAAGCTCATTGGTTTTGCACCACTTGACTTTATTATGCATCATCAAACCTGAGTTGAGACAAATAACTGGAAACAGTGGTAAGAAATGCAGTGGTTGAATTTCATCCTGTAGGCTCTCTGGAGACAACAGCTCAAAATCAAGCATCCACAACAATAATGTCACAGCTCTCTGCAGCCTGAGCTCTGTGTACAGTAGGTACACAGAGCCTGAAGATGAATTGTTTTTATATCAAAATCACAATTTGATTAAGTGTGGTGTCTCAATGACTAGAGCTTTGATTTAAGTGAATGTCTTAACAAACAGGCTGTATGAGGTGAAAGCTGTAGCTAATATATGACCATTTAACCAACAGTTTCCAGGATAGAGTATTTACCATATATTCATGAAATTAAACTCGGCGGTGTTTTCTGGAATATACTGTCTGTATGTCAGTATCAGAACTGTACACTCAACCAAGGATGGTTTCTTTGAGAAAGAGCAAGCACCAGATAGAAAATGCACTGTACTGTATGAATTCAGAAAGACAAACAGAGTGGGAGTCTCTCTCAAAATAAACAAGCCTGCTAACTGCATCACAGCAACAGATAATGCTGGCTAGCAGCTAGATTGTTAGCGGCTGAGTGAATGACAGCTGGCTCATCATGAACAGTGTTCAGAATGTCCAAATGAAACCTCTGTGCACCCCATACTACAGTTTTAAACATGTCACTTTAGAAGAACCCCAAATTCTACCCTTCGTGATTTAGGCCTTTGAAGTAGCTCATCCATTGTCAGTTTTTGAAACTAACATTCTCTCAAGCTGTTCACACAACAATAGACTGAAAGATGTTGAAAAGCTGAGTGGAACGCCAGAGTTGGAGGGTTCATTGATACGAGTGGCATATTTCACATTACACAATCATTTGATACATTGTAAAAATAAAAATGATTACCGGTAGAGGAATTGAAATGCTGGTCAGATTAATAATGGTATATTTGGCGATAATGCTTCATCCTTTGTACCTGGTTGTAAAAATGAAGGGTAGAGCATACCAGAGGCTGTTACTCATCCAAGCAGTGTGCTTCAATTATTTATGGTGAACATAGCGATGTCCACAAGTGATTGTGGTAATAACTTATTCATGGTGTAATGCTCAGATTGCCCACCTTAAACACAATGTATCCTGAAAAGGTGGTTCATGTGAATACAGTCTTGTCATAGTTGCCTTAGAGATACTTTGTCACCTTCCTAATGGAAGAAGACAAACACAAATTACTGATGTATTTATGTTTTTGTCACTGTCACAATGTGCTCTTTATCCATATTCTGCATCTTTAATGTTTAATAGTCTTTTGTGCCTGACTGAGCCACTTAGCTAAACCAATACTGCTATGATAGCAAGAATCTCCCTGTCTCCTGCCAGCTTTCTGTGTGTGTGTGTGTGTGTGTGTGTGTGTGTGCACCTTGCACGTTTTTGTATATATTAATGACCCCTTGTTAAAGTTTAATGTCTTTGTTCCACTGTTGTCAGGGAGATTTACCACTGAGTCCTGTGGGTAATGCCTTCCCCAAAAATAAAGTCACGTCACCTCCTTTATATCAGCTATATTACCACAAGTGAGTCAGTAAAGATGGCAAGTGTTCTCGCTCTGTGGAGGGGGAAGACCCACAGGGTCTGTGTGTTTATGTTGTACTTCACACATGGCTTACCTCAACACTAAGACAGACACTGCATAGAAAGAATCTGTTCAAATATTCAGGTCAGCTTCACAATGGACTGTAAGAGTTTATAAAATACATTACAGCCTCTCAGACTGTGGGCAGGGGATGATGTTCTCCATTTGGATTTTGAATAACTGCATTTATACAGAATGGCCAATGATACTTAGTGGAAGTGATTCTAATAGGACATCATAGTATTATTGTTAAGTATGTGTGCAGATTTTTTTTCATCTATCTGACAATGTGCACATTGAGAAAATGGACCTGTACCACACTGCAAGAAAAGCTTAATGATCAGTATTGGAAAGAAGGAACGATCCCAGCGTCGTCCATGTAGATATGGACATGCGAATGTCACGTTAATGGTCCCTGTGAGGTTTGAGCTTCATTGTGCAGAATGATGTCTGCATGTGCAGTTTGTTTTCACAATCATCTGCTGAGTGGGGGCAAAGTTTCTCTGTGCTCACCTCTAATTTTCAATGAAGTGGGAGGCATCTTGTTTTCAGCAGTTTTGAAATATTTACATAGTTATGCTTTCAGATGTTTTCAATGAGGGACTAAGGGAAAATCATAAGAGTCAAAAGACAACCATATCAGACAAAAAAATCTTATTCACAGCAGAATATCTCGACTTCTCTTAAAACACATCTGGGTTTGAGTCCCATAATGTCTCATCCATCTAACCATTGCCCATACTAGTTCTCCTGTAGAGGGCCTACATGGAGGCATCACATTCACAGGTTAGACCTCATTCTTTTTTATTTCCTAGATACAGTACGTCCTAACAGATGCTGCCTCTGTAGGCTATTATAGCTTTATACCATGGTACAACACAATCACATATAAACAAGCGTACTTGTGCTTTATTCAGATTCATTCGCACATGTTCAAACAAAGAAAGGCAAATATAACCAGACATACAGTATACTGTACATTACAGCACAAGGACAAGTAACCATCCTGAAAATTCAGTAACTGTGTGTGTAATCAGCATTACTAATGGACACTAATGCTGTGCTCCTCACTCGTCAATAAAAAAATACATATTTAAATATATATCCATTTCTGTCTCTCTTTCTTTCTTTCTATCCTGTTGTCTGTCCATTTCTTAGAGATGCCAAACAAAGAACCATCTGGTGAAGAGTGAATGAAAGAAGGACAGAGGAAGGAAAACCACAAGACAAGTGGACGGCAAAGCACAAGAAAAACAAATCCAAACACAGGATAACAAAAGTAAACTGATGGAGTAAAAGAAAGGAGGGATGTGAGGAGCTCCATGAAAGAGGAGAAACCGAGTTGAGATAGATGCAAATAGGAAGTGTTAGCAAGAGGAAACCCACACGAAGCCTGGGAAGAGACAAACAGGATTGAAACTGGAAGCTTTGGAAAGGTAGGAAGAGAACGCCAAAGACCGGTCGGGGGAGGACAGAGACATCTGGATGGTCTCCACAGTGACAGCCAGCAGGTTACCCTCCCTCCAAAGATGGCCTCCAACTTCAACGACATTGTCAAACAGGGCTATGTACGCATGCGCAGCCGCAAGCTGGGGGTGAGTGCGTGTGCGGTTATGCTATCTCTCCAGTGGTGTTTTATCACATCTATCACAAAAGGGTAATCCTAGATTTGCATTTTAAAGATAAGGTTGTTAGCAGGTCGACAAATCTCATACATAGATTGTTCTTCTTATTTAATAAAATTTTCTAAAGTTTTCTAAAAACTCATTATTGCACACAGACCAAGTGTATATTATTGTATGAATGCTGAGTCAGCATCCATACCATGTTTTGCTGGTCTTTATTATTATTATTGTTATTATTATTCGGTACATTATTTGGCCCTTAACTACTTCAGCATACTTTCAGCTAGAACAACCATTTTGATACCTGAATATTTTTCAGGACATGTGCGGATCTATTCAAAATTTTCCTAAACTTCATACTTTTTAAACTATTCAGCTTTATTCTGAAAATTTTGCCCCATTCAAATGAATGGGGAAATTCAACTTCAGCATATTTTCAGCTATTTCAGCTATTAAAATGTTCAACTCCTCAAGGACATTCATGCTTCTATTCAGAATTTTTCTAAACTTTATACTTTTGAAATATATAGCTTTATTTTGAAACTTTTGCCCCATTCAGATGATTGGGAAAATTCTACTTCAGCATACTTTCAGGTAAATATGCATTTCAGGTGTCAAAATATTCAGCATTTTCAGGGTGATCCTTCAGCACACAACATCCACACGCATTTTCAATAGGAAATGCATTTCTCTTGTTTCTGCTATAATGTCTGCTTGAATACCTGAGATGTAAAATGTTTGCATCTTCCAAGGTTCTGGCATCACAGAACAGAGACTGAATGTGCCTGCATTATCATTGCATCTTTGTCATTCATATCCATCTTTTCACATGAGGCTAATCCACATGCATATTCAATGTGCAGTGGACAATCAGAGGTTCTGAGCAGACAACATACTTAGGTCTGCCGGGAGATGTTGCCTGCTTCCTCTGTGCTGTTTGTTGACTGAATGGGGATAGTGTGAAATTATATCACAGAAAATAAAGCTGCGCTACAAATAAAAAAAATGTTGTGCTTACATAAATTTGACTTTTTTCATATCACAATATCGCATATATATATTTTTTTGGCTATACAAATTTATGTTCCCTTGACACAAGCCAGTCATATTGCATTGCGTGTTTACTGTAATCATTACAGATGCCATTACAGATGCCAAATTCATGAAGACTTGTCCGATTCAAATATAAACTGTTTAAATAAGTGTCATATTTAAAATATTTAGCCTTATTTTGAAAATCTTGCACCATTCAATTGAATGGGAAAATTCTAATTCAGCATAATTTCAGCTAGTAAAATCATTAAGGTGTCAAAATTTTCAGCATTTTCAGGGTAATCTTTCAGCACTCAGCATCCATACACATTTTCTTCAGAAAATGCAATTCTCTAGTTTTGTATGATGAACAATATGAGGATACACAGGTTATGAGTTATACTGCAATGAAACTCTAGGAAGGCCCATTATTCATACACTGCAAACTTTATTCAGCTTCTACAAATCTCAGTCCTGGGCAATGATCAGTTGCTCATGACAAGGAGATGTATAGTTTGAGTTAGCAAGAATTACACAATGTCTATGGATTTCTGAAGAAAATGTCAGTATCTTGACTCAGACGGGCTCTGGAGCTCAGGCAGCTAAACCTTTATCTTCTCTTAAACCACTTCAGACTTGTTTCATGGAGTTACTGTTTGTTCACTGATAGTGTTTTTTGACCTTGATTGTCTGGTGTGTTTCAGTGTGTTTAAGTGTGTGTGTGTGTGTTTTTTTAAGTGCTATTGAAAGCATCTGTGTATTAAAATGACAAAAAATACCACAGCACAAATAAGACCAAAACTAGAAGTCAAAAGGAAAAGCATAGTGTATTGTATAATGAGATATGCTTTTGTTTACTGATCCTGAAAGTAAAGATGATAAACAGACATAAGATAATGAGTTTACTGTCTTGAAACAAGGCTGAATATAGCAGGTCAGTTCATTAACATTAAAACAAGCAGATTTACAGTATAGAAGCAGGTAGATCTGTATTAGCAGCTTGTTTTGGTTGGCTTATGAAAACTAAGCTTTTCAGATAAACTATGTTTCCAAAAGACCTCAAGATGTATTTTGTATGACCCCATGTAAGCAGACCACTCTGCATATGTTTAGGCCTGTGCAAAAGCTGCATGTGAAATGCTAATTTGATTGAGTGTGAGTCACATTCAGACTGTGTAGGCAGTGGAATTCAACTTTTCACCTCTCACAGTATGGAAACGAACACAAATCAGTTTGAGGCAGGTTCTGTTCACTGCTCCCTTTAAATAGTCAATGAAGAGTATCCTGATATAAGAGTCTCCATTTTCCAGGTGAGAAAGGGAATAGTGAAGGGATCAAATAGATACTGAGAAGTGGTTGCTGTATTTCTCTCTGTGTGTGTTTGTATCACCAGCATAGTGAAAATCAAAAGTCACCAAGACTGAGTTTTGAACTAGAACAGTCAGCTCTTTGGCCGTGCTAGCAGTTTGGGCTCTGAGGACGGCCATGTTGGCTGATCAGTATGGCCACCACTTTAGTTTACATTGAAATAGCTCAGCACTGCTATACTGCTATTGCCTGCTTGCTTGCTCAAGAGATTAAATCACAACCTGACTGACTGGGAGTCAGGGTGATCACCTGACTATCCCTACTGCCCTACAGTGAAGTTCACAGTCCTGATTTTTAGTCTTGATAGCTAATGTTGATTTGCCATGAAATTTTATTCAGAATCAGCCTTATCGGCCAGGTGTGATGGACACACGAAGAATTTGACTCTGGTACATCGGCTCTCAATGTGCAAATAGTAAACCTGCATAAGGCTGTGCAATATACAGCAACAAAGAGTTCAAGGTCCTGAGAGGTTTCACTAGTGATATACTGCATCTCAGCACTACTAGATGGACTGGCACATTTTATACAGATATTCATGGTCCAGGTCTCCATGCAAGCCCCACTCAAACAGAGTTGATCATGAGTTGAATACCATATACATGTTATTTGAGAAAACATATACAGTATATTATGTTGTTATGGTACGGCTCTGGAATGACAAATATACTGTAGTACTATTTTTTTGATTTTTCCAGGTCCCTTATACCACTGCTGACCAGTGCTCCTGCTGATTTTTGACAACAGGTTTCCTGCTCAACAGTGTGAAGTTTTTTTTAACTGAAGTTTTTTTGAATGAAACTTGGCCATGAATGGAGCAGAACAGGCAGAACATGCTAAAGTTCAAATCTTACAAACATGAAGTGGTATTCATCAGGCTGAAACAATTACCAGGACACCAAACCCCATTTTTGATATTATTCATGGATGGAATTTTTCCTACAATATACATTTAATCTACTTACATTCTCTTATGACCTTTATGTATAGTAGTCTTGGTGGAGTCCTCCATTCCTGTGCTGGATTCAGATTGTTCCATATGCATGAGAAGGTGACTGAATAGGAGGCATGCATATAATCCAGTAAAAATGTACCACACTGGCATTGGCCTAACTGTTTACTGTTCTCTCTTTTTGTACTATATTTAACTTACTGAGGCCCCCTGTGTGCTATTGACTTTGACACTCCTCTGACTTTTCATCTTTAAGAGGGGACATGTCACACCACGTACTGGATGGGTTGGCAAGGCATTCATGTTCCCCTCAGAATGAACTGTAATAACTTTGGCAGTTCCTATGCCATCAACACATTACATTACATTACATACTTGATAAACTGACATTCCCATGAACCAACTTTGTGTTTAGTGCTAATTAACAAATGGTAATAATGTTGCCAAGGTAAAAATAGAGCACTTGCTTCTGACACTGGTTTAAAAATGCAATACTAAAATGACATACTTAAATTTTTAGCCCTTATTTGTGGAGTCCTTGTCTGAAGTCAAGTCAAATTTCACAAATCACAAATTTGCCCCAATGGGCTTTGAAACTTATAGTGCTGAGACAAAAGGAGAAATCCCCCCCAGCTCTGGTTCGAGGCAACATAGTATATCATAGTATGGATCCTTGTCTTTCATAAAGCCGTGGACTCCTGGTGATTATCCAGCACTAGGACACAGGGCTGTGCTCGGTCCTTGTGCTTTCCCTTAAAGAAGCAGGGGTTTGATATGAAAAGGTCAGACGGCAGAGTCAGTGTAGGTTATCTCCCAGCTGAGGACTTGTGAGAGGATACAGTTCTACTTTCTGAGTCCTCCTCTGTCTCCTGGAACTGTGTGTCCACTCCTAGCAAAGGCTTTGAATCAGCTGCAATGCTAAGAATGGTCCTCAGTCCAGAAATTGAGAAGTGGAGGATTTGTCTGTCTTTTCAGACATTTGCCAATGTTTATCTTGCATTTTCTCAGTTAGCACTAATCACACATTGACATTTTTCAGGAGAAATCAAATTGACTGGCCTATGAGCTGTGCTGCAAATCCAAGGCAACATAAGAGCATGAAAATGATATTTGCATTTGGAATTAACTCAACAATGTAATAAAGTCCTTTGTATTCACAGTATGTTTAAGGCGGTAGTCAAATGAACTGGACCAAAGCAAATTTGGCTTCTCTCTCTGTCTCTTTGGGAATCTTTTTGTGTTTTGTTTAATACTAACTGCTCTCACTTTTTTGTCCATCTAATTTTTCTCACTTTGCCACTGTGATTTAATTGCTCTGTGCATTCCCTATCTCCCTCTGTGGTTTTCTACCTGGAGCACTAATTGTTCAAATCTCATTCTTTCTTTTCTGCCTCATTATCTGTATTCTTTCTTTGCGATTTTTCTGTCATATATCTCTCTCTCTTTGGACTTTTTCATTTGCTTTCTTAATTCATTTTCTCCCTGTGCTAGTTGTGCTCCTAGTCTGCCCATATGTTGTGATGTGCAGTGTAAAGCAGAGATAGCTTGGCATCAGTGGATTGCTCCTATTGTGCTCTGGACTTAAAGAAAACTGGATTTTAAGTGGCAAAGTAATGGA